TATTTCTTGGGATTGGATCTTTGAGTGCCTCTCCAGGTTTAGAAAGTTTTCTTGCAGGATTTCATGAAAAGATTATCAATGCCCTTATGAGTCTCTTCACCTTCTAGGATGCCAATTATCCAGATGTTTGGACGTTTGATGGTATCTAGTATTTCTTGTATATTAGTCTCAAATTTTGGAGCCATTTTCTCATTTTTCATGGTATATTCTTCTAGGCCAGCAATTTTCTCTTCTATGTCTAAGATTTTATTTTCTGTATGATCTAGTCTGCTTTTAATTCTTTCAGGAAAGATTTTGACTTCCTGTATTATAGTCTTCATCTCTAACAATTCCATTTGATTCTTTTGTAAAGTGTGTAATTTTCTTTTAGATCTTGCAAGAATTTCCTCACCTCTCAGAACTCATCATCTCCTTTCTCCTTTCTCTTCTGCAGTTCATTGTCTCTCTTCTATTCCATCTCTGTTAGCTTTGCCCTTATGAATATTCTAAATTCTCCTCTCAGAACTCATCATTTCCTTTCTCCTTTCTCTTCTGCAGTTCATTGTCTCTCTTCTCTTCCATCTCTGTTAGCTTTGCCATTATGAATGTTCTAAATTCTTTATCAGACATTTCCATGATTTCCATTGAACTGTCTGTGGGTGAAGAGGAGTTATTCTTTTTCCTTGGAGGAGAGATATTTTCTTGCTTTCCCATATTTCTTGTGGTCCTGCAGTGATTTCTAGTCATCTGATGGAAATTGTGTTTCTTCCCAAACTTGAAGTACAGTCTGACAGTCCAAACAAACAAAAAACACCAAGAAAGAGAAAACAAGAAGAAAGAAATTAAAAAAAAAACCTAAATAAATTATTATTATACTTTTTTAAAAAGCAAAATTTAGGGGACCAGTAGTTAGCATAATGACTATGTCACTGGTCTCCCGTGTAGTCGACCGCGGTTTGAGTCCTGGACCTGGTGGCTTAAAACTCACGATGGGCTCATGTGCATGCATGCCCAAGACCCTGAGAGGAGAATGGAGGAAAAAGGATTGCGGTGTGGCCATCCCCCCCCAGGGGGTGATTTCTTGCTTTCTGTCTCTCTGTCTCTGTCCGTCTGGCGAGTGCATGCGCCCTATAGCAAAAATCTCTCCCCTGCCAAAAAAAAGAAAAAGGAAAAATTAAGAAACCCACGCATGGGCCACGCGAAATCACTAGCTCTCAGGATCCATGAAGATGTCTTCTGAGGCCCACTCCCTTGACTCTCCTAGGTAGAAAAGAGGAGAGGGGATTATGAACAAGATTAAAGGGAGAGGAGGGGCTGGAAGCCGAGAGAAAGCTTTGCCTTAAAAAATTTTAAAAAGGATAAATTACCAAAAAATGAGAAGCCAGAGACAGAGGGAGAGAGAAACAGACAGAGACAGAGACAGGAGGCTTAAAGTCTTCCTACCACTGGACTTTGTGAGCTGGAGGCTGAATTATCAGTGGAAACTCTTCATTTTGCTTAATCTCCTGAAATCACCAGTTCTCGGGAGCCATGAAGATGTCTTCAGAGTCCTGCTCCCTTGCCTCTCCTGGGTTGGGAGGAGAAGAGGGAATTATGAACAAGATAAAGGGAGAAGAGGGGCTGAAAGCCGGGAAAATGCTTTACCTTCAAAATTTTTTAGAAGGAAAAATTACCAGAAAGTGAGAAGTCAGACAGAGGGAGAGAGAGACAGACAGAGACAGACAGGAGGCTTGAAAGTTTTCCTACCACTGGAGTTTGTGGGCTGGAGGCTGAATTATCAGTGGAAAATCTTCATTTCGCTTATTCCCCTGAAATCACCAGTTCTCGGGAGCCATGAAGATGTCTTCTGAGGCCTGCTCCCTTGCCTCTCCTGGGTTGGGAGGAGAAGAGGGGATTGTGAACAAGATGAAAGGAGAGGAGGGGCTGAAAGCTGAGAAAATGCTTTGCCTTAAAATTTTTTAAAAAGGAAAAATTACCAAAAAAATGAGAAGCCAGAGACAGAGGGAGAGAGAGACACAGACGGAGACAGGAGGCTTGAAAGTCTTCCTACCACTGGAGTTTGTGGGCTGGAGGCTGAATTATCAGTGGAAAATCTTTATTTGGCTTATTCCAATTAGATCACTAGTTCTCAGGAGCCATGAAGATGTCTTCAGAGGCCTGCTCCCTTGCCTCTTCTCTGGAATAAATTTTTAAAAATCCTCTTGATCTTGATATTTTTCACCTTCTTCCATAAATAATATATGTTCTCCAGAGTATCTATTGGGTTGTTGGAAAAGTCGTGATGCATTTTGACTAAAAAAAATTCATTAAAAATACGTCATGACTTTTCGACGACCCAATAGTATGCTAAATCCTTTCCAGAAGGTTTTCAATTTACTTAGTCCAGATCTATCATGTGAGATCACTTTCTGTGACAGCTACAGTATTTAATAGATTTCTCAAAAAATAAGGCTTGAAATGACTCCTGCTCCAGGGACTGCAGAATGGATGCAGTGTCAGCAGTCGAAAACAATGTGAATCTCCCTGTACACTTGCATGAGAGATTCAAATAACTGGGAGCATTGTCAATGAACATCAATATGTTGTAGATTCTTTTCTCTTCCTCTTCCTCTTCCTCTTTCTTTCTCTTTCTCTTTCTCCTTTTCTTTCTTTCTTCTTTCTTTCTTCTTTCTTCTTTCTTCTTTCCTTCTTTCTTACATTCAATCACTGCATATCTTTACTACATTGAAAATACATTTTCCTAGCATAAATATCCTGTTATTCCAGTCAAAGAAATTATCATACACATTGTCATTGACAGATAATTTTCCATCTTTTTGTCTATTTAATTTTTTCTCTTGTTTTTTCCTTGCCCCCCCCCCATCTTCCGGCCTGCTCCCAAACTATCTATAGTGCCAATGATTGCTATCCATGCTTTTATACCTCCCAGTATTTCTATTTCTGCCATAGAATACAGGCATTCAGTAAATGTTAAGTGGAGACATACAATGTCTCTCTTTCATAGTCTGGCTTGCTTTCTTTTTTGAACCTTATTGTTCAGCAATGGACCAAAAGTATTCAGGACATTATTCTGTAAATAGATATGCTGTCATCTGGGTTTCACTTTTCCATTCATATAGCACAGGCTGAATAGCTTTAGCATAATTCTTAAGGACCCTAGGATTTGGGGAATGGCAAATAAGCACTGGCTTCATGTCAAGCCACCAGCTGTATGAACCCCTAATAAGAGTGTAAGCCTGTCCTTTGGACTTTTGAGGCCAGGCTGTGACTTCTCTTCAGTTTCAAAGACCTAGATGGTATCTTCTTGCAATAGACGGCTGACTCATCTACTGAAAACCTGCTGTTGAGTGTATACATTATTACAGGTTTGATCTTCTATCTTTTTGTTTTTTCACACTATAGGAGTTAATTTTATTTGTTCAAGGGCTCATATTGCAAACATTAAACCAAGCATGGGCTTTGATTCTGTGGGCCCATATTCACATATTAAGGTAAAAGCAAACTATGATCCACATACCTGGATGGAAATTAAAGGCTCATGGTTAATCACATTGTAGTTTTTTAAAATTTCTACAGCCTAGAACTCAGTAGTCACAGGTATTTCAGGTCTTTTTGGATGTTCCACAGCATATCTTCACTCTTTTTAAGCCGAGAAAACTTGTCTCTCAGCTTCTCATTGATAACACTGGTCAATCCCTGAGCATTGAGGATACATGGAAGGCTCGGGAAGACTTCATTCTCAATGCCATACATCCTCTTTGCCACGGATGACACTGGATGAATCTGGACAGATTTTTCAACATGGGTTCAGTGAGATCAGCCACATTTAATCCAATCGCCCAGTTGGTATATCTTTTTAGCTTGATGACTTCATAGGCACTTTCAACAACCATCTTATGCACTTCTTTCCAATTCTTGCTGTCATTGTCCATCCCCATTTCTGGATTCAGTTCCTGGAGGGAAACACCTGCCACATTCACTCCATTCCACACGACCACACTTGAGTCATCATGTTCTCCCAAAATCTATTCATGGCAGCTAGTGGGATGAATGCCAAGTTTCTCAGCCATGAGATAGAGAAATCTAGCAGAATCCATATTACATCCACTTCCAATCACAAGGTGCTTGGGCAAAGCGACTTGGTTTCCAGGTAACATAAGTGAGAATGTCCACTGGATTGGAAACCACAATTATGATACAGCCGGGGCTGTACTTGAAAATCTGGGGGATAATGAATTTGAAGACATTAACTTTTCTTTGCACCAGGTTGAGACGACTCTCTCCCTTCTGTTGACGGACTCCAGCAGTCACCACCACAATCTTGGAACTGGCCATCACAGAATAATCTTTATCTGCCACAATTTTAGGTGTCTGAAGAAATAAGCTTCCATGCTGCAAATCCATCATTTCTCCTTTGAGCTTATCTTCCAAAACTTCCACCAGAGCAAATTCATCAGCTAGAGACTTTCCCAGAATGCTGATTGCACATGCCATACCAACCTGTTCAACACCCATTACAGTGATCTTATTGTTGGGGACCATTGCCTCTTCTTCTGCAGCAAGTGCAATGAGTTTATCCTTAAGAGTTGCCACTGTGCACAGAGCAGAGAAAGCTCTCAAGATGGCTGGAACAGTCGAGTGAAGAGGACAATGTCAGCTGTGCACTTCTCTACCCACGCAGGATCTCTGGTCTTCGATCTTGATCACAAAAACTTACTCCATAACAGCAATAGTGGTTTTACTTTCTTAGACTTGTGGTGTTCTTTGGAGTAGCACTTTTCTCTCCGTTTTAAAAATGAATTTGTGATAGCAAATGTGCCTACACATGAAAGAGAGAGAGAGACACAGAGACACACACACAGAGAGAGAGAGAGAGAGAAGCACACTTCACAAGGTATGGTCACACTGTGATACCCTTCCTCGAATCATCCACCCATCAGAAGTTGGGCACTTGCACATATGCCTGGCACACTTCCGGCAGTCAGGCTGGGGATTCAAATCTCACTAGTCATGTGGGATTTGGCTTCTTTCGAGTGGTGCATTAACTCTACACCGTAGTAGCACTTTTATTTTCCTTCAGTAAAGTGAAAGGGTTGCATTCACAACTTGGCTACTATTTGGTGCGACAGGCCTAGCTTTTGGCCTACATCAGTCTGTGACATGCCTACCTCAACAAGCTTAATTATTTCAGGCTTTTGATTTAGAGTGAGAGATGTGTGAATCTTTCTTTCACATGAACACTTAGTGGCCATTGTAGGCTTATTATTTGGCCTAATTTCAGTATTGTTGTATGTCAAGGATTGGGGAGACCCAAGGAGAGGGAGAGAGATGGGAACTGGCTGGTTGGTGGAGAAGTCAGAACACACACATTATTTATCGATCACATGCTCGGTCTTGTATGGGCACAATTTGTGATGTCCCCAAATAATTACAGTAGTGACAGCAGAGAGCAATGACTACAGATCACCACAACAAATAGAGTAATAATGAAGTTTGAAAATTTGTGAGAATTCTCTAACTGTGATGCAGATCCATAAGGTGAGCGTGTGCTGTTGAAAATGGTGCTGATAGACTTGGACTCAGGGTTGCCACAAACACAGGATTTACAAACTGCAGTAAATTGAGATTTGCCTTTATCTGCATATTGCCTATTTCCACACTTGCATTAAAATAACTATGAAGTAACATGTATGTCTGTGCATACATAGACGCATTTTTCTGTTGGTGTGTGTATATAAGCACAATAGAAAAATGACTATAAAGAAATGTGGATGAGAGGCAAAAGGAACAGGCATTCTTGAAGACACACAGCTTCATGGTTCCCATGATCTAGCCATTTTGGGGAAACAGAATTGAAGATTTCCCACTGATAATTCTGCCTCCAGCACAAAAAACTCATGTGATTGAACTTCCAAGTTTGAGACCATCAACCAGATGACTAGAAATCACTGCAGGACCACAAGAAATATGGGAAACCAGGAAAATACCTCTCCTCCAAGGGAAAAGGATAACTCCTCTTCATCCACACACAGTTCAATAGAAATCATGGAAATGTCTATAAAGAATTCAGAACATTCATAATGGCAAAGCTAACAGAGATGGAAAAGAAAAGAGACAAGGAACTACTGAAGAGGAAGGAGAAAGAAGTTGCCGAGTTCCAGGAGGTGAGGAAATTCATGCAAGATCTAAAAGAGGAATTTCAGACTTTACAAAAAAATCAAATGGAACTATTAGAGATGAAGACTATAATACAGGAAGTCAAAATCTCCCTTGAACGTATTAAAAGCAGACTAGATCATACAGAAAATAGAATCTCAGACGTAGAAGAGAAAATTGCTAGCCTAGAAATATCCACCTCAAAGACTGAGAAAATGGCCCCAAAATTTGAGACTAATATACGAGAAATACTAGATACCATCAAACGTCCAAACATTCAGATAATAGGCATCCCAGAAGGTGAAGAGACTCATAGGGCATTGATAATCTATTCCATGAGATCCTGCAAGAAAACTTTCCAAACCTAGAGAGTCACTCAGAGATTCAGTCCCAAGAAATACAGAGGACCCCAAATAGAATCAACCCAAGGAGATCTTCTCCAAGACATTATAGCTAGAGTGACCAAAACCACAGACAAAGACAAGATACTAAGATTGGCAAGAGAAAAATGGCAAGTTACCTTCAAAGGGTATCCCATCAGACTAATAGCAGACCTCTCATCGGAAACAATGCGAGCAAGGAAAGGATGGGAAAATATAGTCAAAGTGTTAAGAGAAAAACAATTTCAACCGAGAATACTGTACCCAGCAAGATTATCATTCATTTGAGAAAAAAAGACACAAACATTTTCAGATAAACAAAACCTGAAAGAATTTACCAGCACCAGACCAGATCTCCAAGAAGTTCTTAAGGGAGTGCTATGTCAGTAAAATTAAATGCAGACACACAGAAATAAGAGTTCAAAAACTAAGAAAATGGGCAACTTAATTGTAGGGACAAAGTCTGGAGTTGAGTATTATATC